CCCCCCCCCCCCTCCAGAACTCATTTAATAACAATACAAAACAGGTCTCAATCATCTTATGACATACCCCAGCAATTAGGAATAGGCAGTATAGGTACCAGCCATACCAACTCCCTTGGAGCCCCTCCTATCGTCAATGGAGGCCACATGAATGGCAACTGCAATGGCAAAGGCAAAAACAGCACTGACACCAGTCACCAACAGCAATATTCCAGCTTCTAACAATCAAATTTGAAACCTTAGTCAAGGATCTCCAAGATCTCCACCAGATCCAATGCTAGATACCAACATCCAACTCTTAGGAGGTTGTTTGCACCCTTTTTATAACAACTGAGCAGCTATAACCAACACATGGGTGCTAGATTTTATTCTCTTGGTATATACTAGCTCTTTCTTCTCCCTCCTCCACACTATTTTCTGGGACCCTTCTCACAAACTGCACTTTTATGTCCGAGACAGAACACTATCTCCAATTAGGAGTGGTGGAATCTGTTCCCAAACAGCACAGAGGCAAGGAGTTTTATTGCTGCTATTTTATTAACCCCACAAGAAAAGTGGAGGCTAGAGTCCCATCTTCTGTATCAGATGACTAAAATTTTTTTAAAGAAACAAAAATTTCAGATGGTCACTTGCCCAGATATCATACCAGTCAGATGGTCACTCTCACAAACAATCCACTGCTTCCACAAGATAGGCCTACAAAAAATACAGTGAAATCAATGATAGGACCTACACAGCTACAGTTTGTTGAAGCATATTTCAACTCCACAATGACTCGAGCATTCTTCTCACGCAGGTTTGGCTATATACAACTTTTAATTGCCTCAGTATGCAACTTCCCACAAATGAATATAATACTTGGGATGCATAGCGGTGTTCCCTTTCATTATGTAACACACACCTGCACATGCAAAGCAGCCCGTCCCCAGCAGCCAAGGCTGGCCTGAACACAGACTGCTCCAGTAGCGGTTCCATTCCCAGGGGGTGGGGAGTGTTTTCCAGCTCACCACTGGGACCTCCCTGTGCACAGGGGCTGTTGGACCTGGCACAAGCTGGGACAGAACAAGCCCGGCTTAGTCCTGGCTTGTGCCAGGTCCGGGACCTACCTCTGCTGCAGCTCTGCATTTTAAATGTAGTATGACCTGGGCTGTCTGTGTGCCTGGCTTCTACTACATTTAAACTGAAGAGCTGCAGCAGGGGTAGCTCCTGGTCCTGGCATAAGCTGGGTCAGAGCACCTTCCCTTATTGACCAGTCATGTAGTTGATATAAATTGTATTGACTACACAATTAGCCAGTTACCTGCCTCTTAACATCCTTACCCGAATCCCTCTTCCCCTACAATGGGACCTCCTAACTCAATGAATGGGGCAACTAAAACACCCTGGTCTACTATGACTTCAACTCAAGGAGAACAAGACTGCTCAGAACAGGTGCAACATATCTTACTCCAGAGCAGAGAACTCTCCACTCACTCTACCTGTACTCACAAATGGAAGTGGCGCAGGCCCCCTTCCCGCTTATCCTGGGTTACCTCTTGGTACTCAAACAATTGGGTCTTTCCATTACCGGTAGTTCTCTGAGGATACATCTTGCGGTAATTACCACTTTCCATTACCGGTAGTTCTCTGAGGATACATCTAGTGGTAATTACCACTTTCCATCACAGGATTAATAACACCTCACTCCTAGACTAACCCATCACAAATCAGTTTCTCAATTATATCAACATTTTCTACCCTGGCATAAGACCATGTGTCATAACACGCAAATTTTAAGTTTACTCCATGCCATTATCTAAATAATTGAAGATATTGAACAGAATTTGTCCCAAAATTAATCCCAGTGCAACCACACTTGTTATGCCCTTCTAGCATGACTGTGAACCATTGATAGCTACTTTCTGGGAGTGGTTATCTAACCAATTATGTACCCACCTTATAATGACCCCATCTAGGTAGTATTTCCCTAGTTTATTTATAAGAAGGCTGTGAGATTTTATCAAATGCTTTATTAAAGTCTAGATATACTACATCTGCTGCTTCCTCCTTATCTGTGAGGCTTGTGATATCCTATCAATCAAAAATATCAGGATAACCTGACATGATTTGTTCTTTACGAATCCATGCTGATTGTTACTTATCACATTATTATCTTCTAGGTGTTTTCAAATGGGTTCCTTAATCATTTCCTCCATTATCTTCCCTGGTACAGAAGTTAAGCTGACTAGTCTGTAGTTTCCTGGTCAGTTCTCATTTCCTTCTTTATAGATGGGCACTACATTTGCCCTTTTCCAGTCTTCTTTTACTTTTCAAAGTAAATAGCTGTTGACTCAGATATCCCCTCAATCAACTCCTGGAGTATTCTGTAATGCATTTCATCTGTCCTGGGTCACTTGCGGGTATCTAACTTTTCTAAGTAATTTTTAACTTTTAACTATTTTAACTTTTGAACATACCTCATTTTCATCAGCATTCACTATGCTAGGCATACTGTCACCACCAACCTTGGTGAAAATAAGGAAGTCATTAAGCACCTCTGACATTTGTACATTTTCTGTTGCTGTTCTTCCCTCTTGATTAATGGTCCTATCCTGTCCTTCATCTTTCTCTTGCTTCTGATATATTTGAAGAATGTTTTCTTGTTAGAATTTATATCGCTCTAATTTGAGCTTTTGTGCCTTCACCTTTCTAATTTTTCCCTTTATATAATTTTGTTGTTTGTATTCATCCTGTATAATTTGACCTAGTTTCCACGTTTTGTAGAAATTGATGTTTGGATCATTCAGAATCCCCTGGCTAATCCAGGGTGGTCTATTGCCATACTTCCTCTCTTTCCTATGCAGTGGAATAGTTTGCTCTTGCACCCCTGATGTCTCTTTGGAAAACTGTCAAATGTATTTGGTTGTTTTTCCTCTTAGACTTGCTTCCTATGGGACCTTACCTATGAACTGTCCAAGTTAGCTAAAATCTTCCTTCTTGAAATCCATTGTCTTTATTTTTCTGTTCTTCCTCATACCATTCCTTAGAATCATGAACTCTATAATTTCATGATCACTTTCACTCAAGCTGACTTCCACCTTTAAATTCTCAACCAGTTCTGCCCTATTAGTTAAAAATCAAATCTAGAGTAGCCTCCTACTCCGTAACTTTCTCTACCTTCTAAAATAAAAAATTGTCTCCAGTACATTCCAAGAACTTGTTGGATAGTCTGTGTCCTGCTGTGTTATTTCCCAACAGTTGAAGTCTAGATAGTTGAAGTCCCCCAGTGCGTTGGATGATTTTATTAGTTGCCAAAAAAAGCTTCATCCACCTCTTCTTCCTGCTTAGATTGTCTGTAGTACATCCCCCTACTGGCTGTGTCCAGACTCAAGGGTTTTTTCGAAAAAACTTCACTTGCGTCTAGACTACAGCTGCGTTCTTTCGAAATTAAATCGAAAGAACGCAGCTTTTCTTTCGATAGCGGTAAACCTAATTTCACGAGGAAGAACGCCTTTTTTTGAAAGTGCTCTTTTGAAAAAAGGCGTTCCTGAATGCAAACAGGGTGTTTTTGAAAGAGAGCATCCAGACTGCCTGGGTGCTTTCTTTCGAAAAAGTGGCTTGCTTTTTCTAAAGTACTGGTTGCAGTCTGGATGCTCTTTTTTGAAAGAGGCTTTTTCGAAAGATGCTTTCGAAAAAGCCTCTTTCGAAAGAGGCTTGCAGTCTAGACGTAGCCACTATGAGATCGCCCTTTGTCCTTCCCCAGAGACTCTCAACAAGTCTGTCTCCCATGTCTATCTGAACATCAGTCCAGGTGTACACATTTATAATATATAAGGCAATCTCTCCTCCCTTTTTCCCCCTGTCTATTCCTACTGAGCAAACTGTACCCTTCTATACCAATATTGTTGCAAATATTTGTGAATGGGGTAAACTCCATTCTATACTTTTGTCAAACTCAAATGTTTGGAGATTGCCAAACTCTCCTAAAGCATGTTGAGCATATTGTAATTGTTTACGCATGTCCAACATTCTTCCTTCTAAATTTAAGTGAAACATACTTACTCTGTTCCAGGTAATTGATGTGAAGAGGAGTTATGTAAACATGACAGCTACAAAGATTGAGCTCACTATGAGGAAAGCAGAGCCCATGTTATGGGCAAGCCTTGAACTACCAATGCCTAAGATACAGCAAAAACAAAATGAAGATATTACAGATCAAGAATGAAATCCTAAAGATATATAGACTGTTTCCTTATCATGAAGTGGTGACTTGCTACTGTAATGCATTTCTTTTTAAGACTTTTATTTTCTATAAGATCACTTTTTACAATAATTCTTGCATTCCAGATCAGGGCAAACAATCCATTGTGTGAAAACCTCATGCTTGATCTAATCAAGAGTGCAAGATTTATTGTAAATTTATTGAAGCTCAGTCCATACTGTACACTAATATTTTTCAAGCATCCTATTTAGACTGGAGCTACCAGAGTAATCGATGTTGGACTATACCTTTTTTTATCTTGTTTCCTGTAAGGGTACACGATATGAGTATGTGGAATGATAAACATGATTTCAGTGATTTAGAATACACAAATTTGATCTTCAGAAATCAGTAATAAATCCAGAGCGAAACTAGGCGCTATGCAGTTTCTTTCCTTTTACTTGTGACAGTAATGGCTGTATATTTTACTTGTACAATGGGTCACTAGTTTGTGAAGAACTTAGGTAATACTGGCTTTTTCACCATCTAGTTGTCTGGATCTGCTCTGAACAGTTTGAATGCATGTGGTAACAGTACTCATCCACTATCAACACTTGTTCTATTACCAGTAAAAGTGCAACAGCAGAAGACTTGCCAAAAATTTCCAAAGTAACCCAGAAGGGAAGAGGTTATTAAAATGTCCCTGCTCTATCCTTCTCATTTTGGTTTCTGAATTTTAAATAATCCTAAAACAAAAGGAATTGGATAAAGTGAAGCTACAAAAGCTTAGCCTCCCAGCTGTGGGGGAAAAAACAAACAGTCTCAAAACCACTAAGCCAGTTAATATGAAAATTTTGCAAGATACCTAATATATAACTATCCCTCCCTCAAATGCTCACAATTCTTAATCTTCCTCAAAGAGGGTAAATATTGAAGCAGGAGAGGATAATGTAGGTTGTGTTTGTGTCAGCTGGCCTGTGAGAAGATGATTAATGTTTCCATACAATATTTTTTTATTTCAAACCTTTTTAAATAAGGTTATTTAAATGTGTTTTTATTTTAACTTAATTTTCATCTGTATCAAAAAACAAAAAAAATCAACCTGTTTTTTATTTTCAGTTCAAGGTAGAGACCTTGCTGCCAAAAACTAGGGTATTGTGAAAATATGTGACTGAGTTCTAGGCCATAGCTGATGCAGTAATGCTTCTCGCCCTCACATCTCTAAAAGTAAGTTTGGGGCTGCAGCTGAAAAACACTCCCAAAAAAGTCTAAAGATATGTAGAGCACTATTCACATCCCCCTGTGTAGGCCAATTTCTACCTAATTAAAATTTACCATAGAAAACTTTAAAGTCCCAATTCATTTTACAGACCCAGGCTGTACATTGGAGCTGGAAGGTATAATGTACCAGAGGTCTGAGAAGACTGTAGTTGGTGTGGCTAGCTCTCCTCAGCCACAGCTACATTTCATGTGTGTATGTCAGTTCAAGCAAAAATCTAAACCTTCCATCTCCAGGATAGACATATTCTCTTTCATGCAGAGACAGACGTAGTTTGAGTTATATCACAGTTTCTTGATCCTTAGTCATTTTCCTGTCCTCAGAAGGAAGCCAAAAGAACGTTCACAGTTGGGAAGATGGGCATGTATCATGGGTTTGTATATAATAAGAGAAACAACTTCAGAACATAAAGACTAAAAGTAATTTAACCTTTAGAGTTTTGCAGCTGGGCTTAATTTATCTTTGTAGACTCGAGTTCAGGGTTCCATTTACAGCAATATTTAGACATAACTAAAGCTGACATGGATAAAAAAATAAAATAATACATATATACAGAAACACTGGCTTAGTGTTTGTCTGGGAATTTAAAGTCACTTAACTCCCATTGACTTAATGGGAATGTAACGGACTCCTTTAGGCTCCTTTGAAAGCTCCAGCTCTAGGTGCTTCACAAAACTGTGTAGTTTAAAACAAGGTGCAGATAAAAGAAATTTTATAATACTATTTAAAATGCCCTTATGGCTAGTATAACTTGTATACTCTTGAGCAGTGGCTTCCATCTTTTTGAGGATTTGGACCCCTTTTCAATCTATTAAAATGTTATGCGCCTCCTCTCCCCCCGACCCCAAACAATATAGCTGTGCCTGCAGCCTGCACATCCCTCCAGTTACGGTGCTTCCTGAATGGCGTCCCCCAGACAGCTGGGGAAGCAGCATGGGCTGAGGGACTTGCTGGTTGCTGACATGGGTCCTCAGAGGCTTCATGTCGGCAGTGAGCAAGTCCCTCAGCCCACGCTGCTTCCCCAGCTATCTGGGGGACGCCATTTAGGAAGCAGCATAAGCTGAGGGATATGCAGGCTGCAGTCACAACTATATGGTTTGGGGAGGGAGGGGACACATAACATTTTAATAGTGTAAAGGGGTCCAAATCTTCAAAAAGATGGGAGCCACTGCTCAAGAGTGTAGCCATTCCTTTGCAACTCTACCATCTTTGTTGCTTTGTGTATTACGAATATCTGTTTCTGCAGGACAGGCAGAATTCTGAACTTGGATACAAGGGCAAGCACAGTATAAATACTAAAATAAAATTCTGGTTTTGAAGGGTATGTCACTGGGCATCTATCTAATATTCTTATGCACATTCTGGTTAATTTTCTAAATCTTGAACACCTGAGATCATTTTTAAATCTTTGCATTTCATTTCAGTATCACTAGTTGATGCATCATGTCAAATCCATTTTAGGGACTTGTCAGCTAATTACAAGGCAAACATCAATCAATCTCCCACTGTAATGTGTGTCTAAGCAATTATCATCTTTACCCCAACCATGTTTATGATTTATGTTCTGGTAATACATAAAATAAGTTGGTGATAGTTATGTTTCAGAGTCTTATTATCAGGCTGAGTGCAAAACGGAAGCAGAGGTGGAATATTAATGGCTTGAGGGAAATGCTAAGAGGAAAGTTAGTAGTTTCTTGTATTCCAAGATTTAATAGGAAATTATAGATACTTTAGAGCTGCTTAACAAAAATCAAAGCTTTCCCAATAATATAGGAATCAGTTATTTAAAAAAAAAAATTGTTTAAAGAAGTTCAAACTTAGTTTCTTCTCTTACAATTAAAAACAATAACATTGTTTTATATATAAACATAGCTTTCATCTGGCCATGATGTAATATTTAAGAATAAAAGGGCCAAACTCTGTTGGCATAAATTGGCATAAGTTCATTAGTTTCTCTGAAGTTACACTAACTTACATCATCTGAAAATTCTGCTTTTTTTTCTCCCCTACTCTTCTGCACGATCACCCAGCAGTTTGTTTTAGAGAAATAAAAATATTTTGATCTATTGCTTGTTTTTATTAGTGAAATTCATTTTTAATTTGACACTGAACTGTCAGCAATTGAGGGCAGATGAATTGAGGCTACAAGTACTACAACTATTAGATTACACCTCAGAACGCTACATTTAGAGGGAGAAAAAACAAAGTTTGTAAAAGGTTGAAGAGGAATTATTTAACAATAAATTTTTAAATATATTGAACTTGTAAATATCTGCATAAAATAAACCAAAATCAGCTTGGTTTGAAAGATTTCTGGCAGTCAAACTTTCCATGTCTCATAGCTTCATTGTGCTACTTTTAATAGGTTCAATTGCCTCTTGCAACTTGCAGAAATTAGTTTATTTTTATAATACACAGAATTCTTACCAAACTATACTGTATTTATTGTATATTTGTCACAGACTTGGCTATCCAGTTGCTTGTAAAGCTATTCGCTTAAAAAATGACACCACCACTATAGTATTCTTATAATTTCTCAAGTGTGATTTAAATTTTTCACAACTATTTTGCCTGCCCAATATTACATATGATTTCTGTTGTCTATTGAGTTTCAGAATATTCTCAACATCTGGTTGAGCTCTGGACCATTCAGTTAACATAACGTTTAATTCTACGGCATGTTAGTATAATTTTACGAAAAGTAGCCAATGAGAGTTTGTTTTAATACTTACCAAGTCACTGTTTTAGTTTAGTACTGTTTTGCTAGAAACTTTTTGCCTTTAAAAGGCATTCATGTATTCTGTGTAATGATGCAGTTCTTTGTGTTCTTAAATATGGCATGAGGATTGATAAATGTTATCTGTTAAATTCATTGTTTATTTTCTATTTTACTACTACAAATTGTACTTATCCATATTCAGAAAAATGATCTTTTACATTAATGAAGTTTTCAAGGTGTCTGGAACACAGTTATGATGGTAAATACATGCTTTTTGTAATGGCAAAATATTACTGTTTTGTCTGTTTTCTTCTGCAGGGGTGTCTCATTTCTTATTCATGTAAATTCTGGTTATGTAAACTTTTCTTGATATTCTCATGTCTTCATGCTCTAGTTTTCAATAAATTCTTACTACTGGCGGGGTTATACTTATGTTTCTGGTTACTCCTGTACAGAGGGAGAATTTTCTTTTGACTCTGCTGTAAGAGTATCCCAGTGAAGTATTTTTTTTTTTTTAGGTATTCAGAAGTTCAAGTGATTTTCCTCATGTCCATTCCACATGAAGTGTTTGTGCTTGCCACAAGCACTGTTGCCAGAAGTTTTTCTCTCTGGTACCGGTAGGGGAGCAGATCTGGTGCCCCCTTGAGTGCCACCTCCCATAGTGTGGTATAAGGCAGTGTTTCTCAACCTTACTTTTTTTTTTTTTTAAAGGGAGTAATTTATTTAAAAAAAAAATCCCCAGTACCTACAGTTTTCAGACACACAACTTTTTTTTCTCCCATTGCAACACATTTATTTAAACAGCTTAATTGTAGCTGGGCAAGCAATGAAATTTTTGGGTGTAAAAAGTACAAAAATAATAAAGTGCTGGAAAACTGAATTTTTTAGTTTTCCAATTTTCAGTTGTTGACATACATCTCAGATTTCTGTTGAATGCCCCAAGGTTACTCGTACCATTGGTTGAGAAACACTGGAGTAAGGGATGTTACACTCTTCCCACACGCTACCTTGTTTATAACTAATTAAGATCAGTATCACAGCAGTCATGAATACAGTTCTGAGATGGAGTTTTGTAGAAGTGGTGAGCTTTGCAGTTGCAAGTAGTTCTTCAAGTGCTGTCCCCCTGCGTGCTCCGCAGTTGGTGTCGGACTTGGCCCGGCACCACAGATCCGAGACTGTGAGAGCAGTGATTGGGCGGGCTGTGTATGCGCGAGCGGAGAGCGGTGCTCCCACCTTTGAAGGAGCGCACACAGCCCGCTTCTCCTCAGTTCCATCTTCACCGCCCTTGGCCACAGACAGAGCTCAATTCTCTCCTCCTCCATGCGCTCTGCAAGACAAAGCAGAAC